GTTATTTCCGTGTTTTGGATACTTTCAGTTCAAAAATCCAAATCGTCATCAGAAAATTTTTTAGTTTTTGAAAGTTTGCATTTGTATTTGTATTTCATATACATAACGTCGTCGTCAATTACAGAGAGGGTCAAAACTTAGTATCCACCCTTTATAGTCGAATCTACTTTTAGATTAAGCATATACAATTTGACGTTGAAATTATGCTCATAAATGCTTAATTTATATTAATTATTAAGCGTTGTAAACGTGAACACATGGAACAATTTGATAAAAATTAACTAATTGTCGAAATTTTTCACTGTTGGCTTTTGTATTCGATAGAGGGTGACTTTAATGTATGGCATTAACACATAATTTTTAACTATTTTTTTAATTTGGTATAATATCAAAATTGGTTTCTGAGAGATGGGTAGAAATTTGTGTCTGAAAACTGTGTGTATTTCCATGAAGTGTATTCTATTTATTCCAAGACATAAAAATGGACAAACGACAATCTGTAGTACAGTTGACTATATTTTAATTAGTTTAATGAGTTTAAGGGACAATTTGTACCAAAATTATACGATGCCGAGAGGAAGATCTGGACTACAAAATGATGGAGACTTTTGATCTAATTATTTTTTAGACTTAATTAATAGGCGATTGTGAATTTTAATCCATGTATTTTGAATAAACTGTTTCTATTTACCTACAGTTAGGATAATGAGAGACACTCGAATGGAACTCTTCACATTTTGGATCTAGCTCAGAAACTACTGGACATTTTTACAAGGCTTTTGCATTTGCAGTGTAGAAAAATGTTGGATCTATCATTATATTGGAATTGGTGAAAAATGTAGAGTGGAAAAACGTCGAAAATGAAAACACAGACAAAAAAGAAGGAAAATGTCGAAAATGGAATACTGAATAGAAAAGATTTTTGTACCGTGATAATAAGTGAAGAAGATATTTCCATCAAAACCGTTTTTCTACTAACGTAAGTCATATTCTTGGTTAGCCTGTTTCTCGCTCATTAACATATTCATCTAAATATGTGCAAGGGGTAAAACAGAGTAGTATTCAGCAAGTTCCGCGTTGACAAGAAACCTTTCTTTACCCTTCGATACTTCATAGTGAGATTGTCTAACGAAATTTGGATAAAGTATCTCTGGATATAACAATTAGATGATCTTGAACATCATGTCTTACATAAACAGTCACTTCTCGCGATTTGTTAGTAAAAGCATTAAGGTATAAGAAGAAATTTGGTAAGGCAATCTCACTGTCCAGTATTGAAGAATCAAGAAAAGTTTCTTGTAAACATGAAACTTGCTAAATACTACACTGTTTTATCTCTTGTACATATTTAGATGAACTTTGAATATTATGAGAAATTATCATAAAATAGCATTGCTTTTGATCACAAAAGGGACTCGAATGGAGTTTTAAAATTTTAGAACTTAGTTATAAAAGAACACGCTGCTTTCAGAGGTGAACACTTACAATCATACAGAGCACTCTGAGTGTTGTTAACGAGCGAGAAACAGGCTAAGAGAAAACATGACTCAGTAGAAAAACGGTCTTGACGGAAGTATCTACTTCACTTATTATCACGGTACAAAAATCTTTTCTATTTAGTATTTTCATTTCCGATGTTTTCTTTCGACATTTTCCATGAACTACGAAACCAAAATACGCTGAAAATTTTAGTTTAAATTAACCCTATTAATCCAAAATGCTCTAGAAGCAACATACCTTCAAGTCTAGTTCTTGTAACATTTCATTCATTGCATTTAGCTTTTCATCATCTGTTTCATTTTCACTTGTAACAATGCCCACAATATAAGATAAAAAATCGGTTATATCTAAATTTGGTTGTAATAATTCTAATAAAGATTTTACAGCATTTTCAAATGTTTTATCGCTAATATCTGGAGATGATGTAGCC